TTTTTTTTTTTTTTTTTTTTTTTTTTTTTTTTTTTTTTTTTTTTTATTTTTTGTTTTTTTTTTTTTTTTTTCTTTTTTTTTTTTCTTTTTTTTTTTTTTTGTTTTTTTTTTTTTTTTTTTTATTTTTTTTTTTTTTTTTTTTTTTTTTTTTTTTTTTTTTTTTTTTTTTTTTTTTTTTTTTTTTTTGTTTTTTTTTTTTTTTTTTTTTTTTGGTTGTGTTTTTTTTTTTTGTTTTTTTTTTGTTGTTTTTCTTTTGTTTTTTTTGCGGGGTGCCCCCTTTTTTTTGTTTTTTTTTTTTTTTTTTGTTTATTTTCGGGTGCCCTCTTGGTGCCGTTCGCGTGCGCTCGGGTGCCGTCGACGCCCGTGTCGGCCTCGACTACGCAGGCGGCTTCCCGCGCAGCCCCGCTGAGCATGGCTTCTCGTGAGTTGGTTTACGTATGAATTTCGCATGATTTTCGGGCGGTTCTCTGGTTCCCTGTGAGTTCCGGTGAAATTGGGTGCCTTCAAGAGAAGCTAGTTCCGAGTGCCCGCAGGTTCACTTCGGGCGCTGGTCGGGTGAATTCGCATGTTTTTCCGGCTCTTTCCAGGGGTTCCTCGGGTTCTGTTTGTGCAGTGGCTTAGACCATTCCGCCGACCCCCAGAAGGAGTCAGAGCTTGCGACGATCGTGGAAGTCAGTAGACTTCAGCCCAACCCGCCACCGTGCCTGGGCTGTTGGCCAGGAGCCGCGTGGATGAATTGGATGAATATTAGGGCCGCTTGGGATTTCTCTCAGGGGCCTCTTTGAGGGCTCTTGGGGGCAGCTGGGAGTCATTTAGGGCTCCCTTGGGGGCCTCTTTTGGGGGCGTCTCGGGGCGCCGTGGGGGGCTCTTTGGGCCATCTTGGGGGGAAAGGCTCGAACTGTCAGTTCGTATATCCCTTTTTGGGCTCTCTTAGGGCCCTCTCGGGACTCTCTAGGGTCGTCTTGGGTGACCTTGGGGCCGTCTCAGTGCCCTCTTGGGCCGTCTTCGGCCCCCGGGGAGGGGGAAAGAGGGAGGGGGACAGCCAAATGTCTCACGCGCCTTTTCATTCCCGGCAAGCACGGGTTGGCGGATTGTGAACGATGCAGTTTAGAAAACGAGGTTCTCCGGCTAACGGGTGCCCTGGAGATCCTTAGAGTTTCGCGGAGCTTCTATGCGAATGTATGGGAATATCCGGATACAATACGAAGGCTCAGGGGAGTGCGTGGTGGGAGTGCTCAACGGAGGCCTTGCGGTTGCCATCCTGGTGTTCGGGGGTTCTGAGGTGCCCTCGGGTGCCTTCGGTTGCCTTCGGGTGCCTTTGTGGTTCTTCGGGTGCTCTGGCGATCCTTGGTGGCTCGTGGACCTTCTCTTCACATAGGTGGGAATCCCTCGATATTCGTTGGGTGGTTTGCGGTTGCCATATCGGTGTCGAGTGCACTTCAAGTGCCCTGGCGTTCCTTCGAGTGCCCTGGAGGGCCCATAGATGCTGATATCGCGGAGGGGGGTAAGGGGCCTTTGAGGTGCCTTCAAAACGCTATCGGGTGTGTTTCTGGTTTCGGGAGTGTCCATTCGGAGGGAGTGCTCAACGGGAGCCTTTCGGGTGCCATCCCAGTGATGGGTGTCTCCGAGGTGCTTTCGGGTGCCTTCGGTTGCTTTCGGGTGCATTCGGGTGCGCTTCTGCGTCTTTGGGTGCTCTGGAAATTCCAGAGTTTTGCGGAGCGTCCATGCAAATGCATGGGATTCTCTGGCTATTCTTTGGAAGGTTTGGGGAAGTGTGTTGTGAGAGTGATCACCGGGAGCCTTGTGGACGCTCCTTGTTGTCAGAGGGTTCTGAGGTGCCTTCGGGTGCCTTCGGGTGCCCTTGTGGTTCCTCGGGTGCCCTGGCGATCCCCAGAGTTTCGAGGACCTTCTGATGATGATGATTCTGGCGATTCTTACCATGGCGGTGATGATGATTCTGGCGAAGGGGGGTCACGGGCCCTTCAGGTGACTTCAAAACGCTATCTGGTGTGTTTCTGGTTTCGGGGATGTCCATTCGGAGGGAGTGCTCAACGGGAGCCCTGCGGGTGCCATCCCGTTGTTGGATGTCTCCGAGGTGCCTTCGGGTGCCTTCGGGTGCCTTTGGGTGCCTTCGGGTGCCCTTCTGCTTCTTCGGGTTCTCTGGAAATCTTCAGAGTTTTGCGGAGCGTCCATGCGAATGTATGGGATTCTCCGGCTATTCTTGGAAGGTTTGGGGAAGTGTGTGGTGGGAGTTATCAACGGGAGCCTTGTGGGCACTCCTGGTGTCAGAGGGTTCTGAGGTGCTTTCGGGTGCCTTCGGGTGCCTTCGGGTGCTTTCGGGTGCCTTCGGGTGCCCTTGTGGTTCTTCGGGTGCCCTTGCGATTTCCAGAGTCTCGGAGGCTTCTTGGAGCGTCTTGGAGGCGTCGTGGACCGCCTGGTGCCGTCTAGAGCGTCTTCGAGCGGACTGGAGTCTTCTGGAGGCTCTCTTGGGCGGTGTTGGGGATATCTTGGCCCGTCTTGGGGCGCTGTTGGGTCGCCTCCGGGCGTTGGAAATGTTGAAGGAGGGGGGGAGATGGGGGTCCGCTGGCAGAGTGAGGCCTCCTCGGAGGGACTTTCAGGAGGTGTTCGACCAGCTCCTGGGTTGCCGGCATCCGGCGTGACCCGGCAGATCCGGGCAGCGCACCAGAGTCATGACGACATTTAGGGCAGCCATCCAGCGTAACCTGGCACATCCAGGCAGCGCACATTTTCGGCATCGGCAGGGGCGGCATGTCCGCCCTCAGAGGGGGAAAAAATATCGATGCCGATTACCTTTCCTCGCTTTCGCCTCGGGGCCCCTCGGCGTCACGGCTGGATTCATCTCGGAATTCTGGTCAGAGCGCACCCTAAGAGGTCGTGGCAGTCATTAGCGGTATCGGTACTTTTTTTTCCTCGAGGTCCTCTCGCTTTATCACTTGCTACCAGAACTCCCAGCCGTCTCTCGCTTGACTCGCGCTGCATCCGGCGTGACCCGGCAGATCCGGGCAGCGCACCAGAGTCATGACGACATTAAGGGCAGCCATCCAGCGTAACCTGGCAAATCCAGGCAGCGCACATTTTCGGCATCGGCAGGGACGGCTTGCCCGCCCTCAGAGGAGGAAAACACACCGATGCCGATTACGTTTCCTCGTTTTCGCCTGGGGGACCCTCGGCGTCACGGCTGGATTCACCTCGGAACTCTGGTCAAAGCGCACCGTCAGAGGTCGTGGTCGTGTGTTTCTCGCTGTTTCGTGTCTCGGACGCTCCACGACGGCCCGAAGAGCCTCCAAGATCGCGCCAAGACGTTTTCGGATAAGAGTGAGGTTTTAAGCAGTATGGGAGCGGTTCGGACGTAGGGGAGGGTCCGACAAGGGAGAAGCCTTGAAGACGGTTTCTCACGAACCTCAAGAGCGCGGAAGTCTCAGACGCTTTCGTATTGGAAGGGGAGAGCCGGAGGAGGGAGGCTCTGCTCCCGAATGGGTGTCACCCTGCGGGGCCACCAGCGGGGGCCCTGATCGACTTTGCACTCCCGGAGCATCTTTGGAGCTTTCTGGGGGCATTCGGAGGCCCTATAGCCCTGTAGCCCTATAGCCCTATATTCCTAGAGCCCTAGAGCCCTATAGCTTTATAGCCCTATAGCCCTATAGCCCCATAGCTCTAAAGCCCTATAGCCTACATAGCCCTATAGCCCTACAGCCTTATAGCCCTATAGCCCTAGAGCCCTAGAGCACTATAGCGCTATAGCCTTATAGCCCTATAGCCGTATAGCCCTATAGCCCTATAGCCCTATAACCCTTTAGCCCTATAGTCCTGTAGCCCAATAACCCAATAGCCCATATAGCAATGTAGTCCGATATTCCTTCACATCTATATCCCCATACCCGTATAGCTCCATAGCCCTATATCCCTGTAGCCCTATAGTTCTATAGGCCTATAGCCCTATAGCCCTATAGCCTTATATCCCTTTTGCCCTTGAGCCCTAGAGCCCTATAGCCGTATAGCCCTATAGCCCTATAGCCGCATAGCTCTATAGCCCTATAGCCGCATAGCTCTAGAGCCCTATAGCCCTATAGCCCTACAGCCCATTCAGACTCCAACTCAGATTCTCTGATTCCCTGACTGGGTCTTCCGCATACCGCTCACGCCCAGATACAGTAACAGTGTGCTCAGTCATACTCAGACTCACACGCGAAGACACATTCACATTCAGACTCACTCACATTCAGAGTCACTCAGCCTTCACGTTGAAGGCCGTGTCGGCCGTCTTGATGTCCATCCTGGTCCATACTCGTTGTCGTGCTGGCCGTCCCCGACCTTGTTGGGGGCACCTTGGGCTGTCTTGGGGCACTCTTGGGGGCCTCTGATCTTGAGGCCATTTTGGGAGCCTCTTCAGCCGACCTTATTGGGGTCACCTTGGGCTGTCTTGGGGCGCTTTGGGGGGCCTCATCGCGAGACCATCTTGGAGCCTTTTGGGGTCTTTTCAGGGAGCTCGCGGGAGGCTTTTCTTTTTCTTGGGGGCCATCTTGGGGGGAAAGGTTCAAAATGCCAGTTCGTCTTTCCCATCGGGGGCTCTTTGGGGGCGCTCGCCATTTTCGCGGGTTCGTGGGAGGATCTTTGGGGCCTTCTTGGGGCCTCTTGGGGCTACTTTGGCCCGTCTGTGGGATTCGTTCCTGTCTTCGCAGCACCGCTGCTATATCATTTGAATTTATTCGGAGGCATTCTGGGGATATCTTTTCATGCGCGTGGGCGAGCTGCGCCATTTTGCAGGCCTGCCGGGTCACTTTTGGGTCTGCGGAGGCATTATTGGGGGCCTCTTCTGGGCGTCCTGCTGTCACTGTGGAGGCATATGGGGCCGTCGTGGACGCCAAGAGCCCTGCAGATGAAGGCTGTCCATCTGAAAGAGAAGGCAAGGTGGAAGTCCCGCAGCCACTTCGGACCAAGGTGTTCTCTCAGGCAAGCGAACTCGCGTTGACTTCCTCAGCATGACCTCGTTCCTCCAGTCGGCCGGTGGCTCCCCGCTGAAGGCCCGCAAGATGGACGCGAACTCGAAGGTCCAGGCCATGGTGCTGGAGGTATTCTTCGACGTCAGTGTGCAGGCAAAGGGCCTGGCATTTGATGGCGGCATCGTCGGAGTGCTCGCGGATGCGGACGAGCTTGTCTGCAGGAAGGAGTCCAAGAACGCAGTTCGTTGGATGTCCGGCTTGATTTCCAAGAATGCGGCCAACGTCCCCGAGTGGGCCACAGCATTCAATGCTGGGTTGCCGCAGAACGTCGTGGCCGAGTACATGAGCCCGTCGCACCAGGACAACCCGACTGGTATTTTTTTTTGATTTTTTTTTTTGTTTTGTTTTTTGTTTTTGTTTTTTTTTTTTTTTTTTTTTTTTTTTTTTGTTTTTGGGTTTGTTTTTTTTTTTTTTGTTTTTTTTTTTTTCTTTGTCGTCCAGGAAACGGCAGAGGGCGGCATTGCGAATGCCCCAGGTGCGTGGTGCTTCGGGATGCACACGCAGACCTTCGAGGAGTTCCGCGCCGTGCTGCGCCAACTGATCGGCGAGGCCATGGGCGTAAATGCCGTTGGCCGCCCAGGAGGGTTCTCGCACCAGGGCGGAGCGTCGAAGCTGCTGTTCCGGGAGAACACGAATTCCACGAACCATTCCAGGTGGACGTCGTGGCATTCCGTGCAGATTCGCCCAGTGGGACTGGTCGCCGACAAGTACGTCGATGGGCTCCTCGATCTGGTGCAGGAGTACCCGTTCCTCGTCCCGTCTGGAGCTCTATGCGCTTGCGCGGTGGAGCGGTTCCGGTCCGTCTTCACGGCCTGCGCCCCGGCGACGGACTTGACCGGAGTGGCCGCGAAGGTGAAGGCGCGCGAGGACAAACTCATCGCGGAGCACTTCGACGCGGTCACGCTGTCCGTGGATGCGGGGCAGCGCGGGACGCAGGCAGAGATGGCGAAAGAGACAACCGCCGCCGGCGTTTTCCAGATGTCGATGGCGGGCGGCGTCGCTGAATCGCCGACGGCGGGGGTGGAGGCGGTTGGCGCTGGCGCGGCGCCGCCGTCAGCGGCCGCGGCGGCGGAAGTGACGCGCGCCGCCGGCGCGTCCCAGGTGGCGACGGCGGGCGGCGTTGCCGCGTCGATGGCGATGACGTTGGCGGCGGTTGGCGCGGGCGCGGATGCCGTGCCACCGGCGCGTGCGCCCGCGGGCGCCCCGGCGGTCGGTGCCGCTTCAATGGCCAGCGGCGGAGCCTTGGCGGTCCCGGCGGTGGCTCCTCCTGCGGGCGTCGCCGGGGATGCGCAGGCGCCGGCGCCCGCGGCCGCGCCGCTGGCCCGCGCCGTCCCGGCGCCGACCGCCGCCGCGGCGGAGGTGACGGTGGGCGCGTACCTCGAGGCGGCGACGGCGTTCGCAGCGGGGGAAGCGCGGAGCGCAGCGCAGTCTGCGGAGAGGGCGAAATACCGTGCGTTCAAGGGCATTCAGCTGGACATCGCTGCCGCGGTCAAGCGTTTCGTGGAGATGCCGGGGGTCGGCGCGGAGGCGCTCGCGGGCACCGTGTCTCGCTGGCCGGCGGCGGCTTTCCCGGCCGACAGGTTGCCGCGCGAGGGTTGCATTTTCGGGGGGGGGCGCCCGGGCGTTTCCGCGTCGGGAAGGCAAGCGCGGCTATGATTATCGCGTTCATGTCGCGGTCTTCCCGATCCCCGCGCACCGCTCCCGACGCGGCGGCGCAGAGGGCGCGTTGCCTCGGGAAATGCAACCCCCGTTCGAAGGCTCGAGTGGGCGCAGCGCCCGACGATCATCGAGGGGGACATGGCAGCCGCGGCGGCGGCGAGGGGCATGTCGCCGGAGGCGGCCGTTGCGAAGATCGTGGCGAAGCTTGATCGCTTCCTCGAATCATTGCAGGCAGATGCGCAGGCGGCCATGCTGGCGGACGACATGGCGAAGCTCGACGGGCTGGAGCCCTTGCTCGACGGCCTGGAGGTTCTGCTTGTGCTCGTGCGCGACAGCCCCCCCACGGGCGACCTCCTGCGCGCCCTGGAGCCCATGGAGAACGCGGAGACAGTGAGCGCCCTCAACCTCGATGCCCTCGCCGCGGTTGCCGCGGCCGTGCCGCGCCAGGGCGGCGCCGGGAAGTAGCGCCGCTCCGAGCGCAGGCTGGCCGGCGCTATATCGGATGATGCTCAAGGTGTCCTTGGCCCAAGGTGCCCCAGAAGTTCCGCGGGGGCCCCCGCGGCCTCCAGAGCGCTCCTCGCGGGGGTCAGAGGGCCCTGGGGGCTCTAAAATGGCACGAGAAGCCAGAAGCGCATTGGGCCGGGGGCACCCCTGGCAACCCCCGAGTATATTCGGCTACAACGAGCCTTGCCCTCTCAGCGCCACGACTGCCGAGCCACAGACTCGGCTAGAACCAGCTTTGCCTTCTCAGCGGCAGTTTTGACCAGGCCTCTTGACCAACGCCTCGTCGTGCTTGCACATCTCTTGACACTGAGGGGTGAACCCGCATGACTCGTTCCAGCGCTCAGGTAGTCCAGCGCTCAGGTAGTAACATTTTCCAGCTCTCCCCGTCGGCCATACAGCGCGCTCCCATGATCGGGACTTTCGATCCGCAGCTGCTCGCACGGTGCTGCATGTACATTAGCTTTGACCTTTTTCGAGCACAATAAAAAGCGAAAGCAGCCATAACCCCAAACGCTCGGTCTAGGCTTGTACGTCCAGCGCTGTTGCAAAAACCTCCCTCCCTCATCTTTCTGAAGCTATCCCAGTGGTCTGTCCGATTTTTGAAAGCAACCTCCTTCATCATCAGCCTCGCCATCATCATCCTACCTGCCATCATCAGCACCACCAGGACGACAAACACCACCATCGGCATCACCATCACCGGCACCACCATCGTCATCATCACTCGCCGGCGCACGAGGCCACACGATAACGGTCACCATCATGAGCACCACCATCGTCTTCATCACTGCTGGGGAACTTCTGCGTTGTCTGTCCCGCAACCTGAGGTCGCGTTTAAACTTCAATGCGAACCCGCAGTGACCGCGGGAGATACTCCGGGGAGCGATGGCCAAGCCGATCTCGGGCTCTGTGATTCTGCTTCCTGGCTGCACCTTCGAGGCCTTTTGATCCGACCCCTGTGGGCGGGCAGCACGTTCGCTGGGGCATCGGAGGTTGTGATCCATTCTGTCTCTGGGAACCCCAGGTCCTTTTAGACTTCCGGGATCGTGGAGCCCCAGGGGGCTGCGTGGCGTCTGCGAGCGCCCTTCCGAAAATCACGCTTCAATGCAAGACCATTTTGAAAACAACCCCGGAGCATGCGCCGAGCGCCGCGCAACCTGAGGTCGCATCGGAATTCGCCCATTAGCCGTGCGTCCCACAATGGCCCATCTCAGCGCGCGCGGCATCTGTAAACCATGTGGGCTCGATAGCGGCTCCGGGGTCCAGTCTTGCCGCAGTCAGGGCTGCCCAGTTGGCCCGCGGGGCGGCGACGCTTCTGGCGCGCCATGGCGGAGTCGAGCGACGAGGAGTTCGCGGTCGACCAGGCGCGCGTGAGCGAGGTTGGGCTCGACGATGACGGGGAGGCCATCAGGCGGTCCCGCATTAGTTGCGCCAACGAGTCGCTGGGTCGCGTGGCTGATCTGCTCTCGGCGACGCGGCCAGGGATGCGGCTGTCCGCGCGCCCTGTTCGTGGAGACGGGCTGTGCTTTTTCCGCGCTGCGGCTGTCGAACTGGGACTTCCAGGCCGCGCGGCTTGGAAGCTGTACAGATGGACGCTGGTGAAGATGATGAGGCAGCGGAACCGGCAATTGTTCGAGGCGCTGCAGCTGGACGAGTACGCCGTGGAGAGGAGGGCCCGCCTGCAGAAGGAGTTGCCAGCGCAGGTGGCCAGTGGCGTCGCGTGGGGCAGTCTCCCCAACTGGAAGGTGGCGCCGCGGGCACGGGGAGGAAGGGGTGCCCTTCGCGGAGCCCGGAGATCCAGGAGCACATTTCCCAAATAGTGCTTGCACAGGAGGCACGCGATGCTTTCGAACTCTGAGGGCGGGGCCGTCGGGGCGTTGCCGAGAGGGCGTCTGGGGCCGCGCTTATGCGTTCACTCGGGCGAAGGAATTTTTGGGGGGACTGGTCTGGCTTTCAATGGCGGAGTCGCAGTGACCCCCGCGTTATCTCTTGCCCCCGCCCACTGCAGGTGTTCTACGTGGACATATGCATGGGCCTCCATTCGGAGGACGTGTCGGCAACGCGCCGATATGCAGACGCTGTTGTGATCACGCACTTCCTGGAGGCTTGTGGCGCTCTCGCTCTGTGCGTGCCATTCAACGCGTGGAGCCAGGCGGCCATCTTCCCGGACCAGGGGTTGCTGCAGGGACGTGCGCAAATCCCAGTGCTCGATTTTGCTTTTGTCCACTATGACGTCGACGGGTATTCACACTACGATGCGGTGGACGTGGCGACGTCAGGAGCTAACGCTCCGCGACCGTGGGAGCCGTCGACCGCGTGCCGGGGGAAGTTCAGCGACCCGTCGGGTTTCGCTGACGTGGATGCGCTATTCGGCGAGGAGGACGTGGCGGCTTTCTGTCATCAGG